AGGCTGAGGCGGTTGCTGCTGCGCTACTACCCGCCGGGTGCGGAGCGGGGCGCGGGGAGACCGGGCCGGTGCCTGCCCTGCCCGGGGCCGGGCGTGGGGGCTGCCGCTGGGCCTGTGGCGGATGCCCCTGTCAGGGACGCGCGGGGTGGAGGGTCTTCTGTAATGGAGGTTTCCCTGTAATGGAGGTTTTTCCTCACCTCTGTCATGGGCCAGGGCAGGAGGGAGGGAGTGGGTGCTTGGGTGGGTGGATCGCGCACCTGCAGCTGGGTTGACTCCAGGGGTGGGTGTTTTGGCACTGCGGCTGGTTGAGAGACTGCCAGCTGGAAGCAGCTCGTCACCGATCGGCGCTGTAATTAATGACTTATTGTTGTGAGATGAAGGCAGTCTTATTCACATAGCAGGAAGGAGTTTAAAAAAAAGTCGAAAGTGACAGTAGTTGGCACCAAAAGATGCATATGGGTTATTAAAAGGCCTGTTTAGCTGAAAGTTGCCACATTTGTTATTTTTTTCTTTCTTTGTTTTGGGAATTTTCTGAGCAGAGATGTGCTTTGAAAAGCTGTGCTGCTAATCTGCCTTTATCGTTTACCATGAACTCAGTCAGGAGACTTAATGAATTTTCAGAAGTGAAACAAGATGGAGATGGCCAGCTCAGGAAGAGTATTTTAATAACACATCTCTCTTTCAAATTAAATACTTTTCTTATGGACTTGGTAAAATGCAAAATGACAAAAAAAAATCATCTAATTTATCCTTTCCCACAGAAAAACAAGGACCAGCAGAACCCTTTAGCAGCTGTTTCAAAACAGGAAGCAATGCGGTTAAACATTTTAATACTTCAGCTCAGTAGAAGGTGCAGAGATGCCACAGCATACCTAGAAATGGGAAGTGTGTTATGATTTTCTGTACATGACTGCATACAGGCCTCTGTGAACACTGAAATAGGTATAACGGGTTTTGTAAAACATGTTTTCCAGACTTCTTGGAACACCAAGCTACAGCAAGTGTCTTCAGGACAGCTTCTTTCAAGATAGAGTTGATGAAGTAATTAAAAAAGTTGTTGGGGAAAAAAAGAGTTTGTTTGTTTCCAGAATGGAAAATGTATCATAAATAATAATATTTAATATCTTTTATCACATAAACACATCAGAGTTCATCACCTTGCTAACTCTCAGCAAGAATAACCAACCTCCTTTTAGTTCCAAGAACTGGAAGTAGGTCTGCTGAGTCAATGGAGCAATAAAAGTGGAAGCATTGCTGTCCACAGTGCATGTTATAAAATCCTGCACATATAATTAAGACCTTTTTATTATTTTTTAAAAGGAGTTATTCTGGAATATGTACAAGATTGTGAGCCAAAGACTAGATCTATAGATCTACTTGATCTTAGACCTGAGTAAGTATGATGTTATTTCAGCTATAAGGACTCTCTGCTGTTTTATAGCATGCTCATATACAGCTCTGTTCGATTGTTTTAAACATAATTGAGGTCAGTTATGTCTTTATTCACTGGAAAATACACACAGAAAAGAAAATAGCATGGTCAAATCATTCTTGTGCTATTCTAAATACAGAATCTTGCGTTCTAGCTGATTATTACCATCATGTTTTTCTGTTCAGAGGTGAAACCTCTTTTTGCTTATAGTTAGAATTATCAAGATGCCTGTACAAAGGCAGCAGAAGTATACAGTGCTTAATGTTGTAATGTTGTGATGAATGACAGTTAGTTCTTAGGTCCTACAATAGCATTTCTGTTCTTCAGAATGTTTTAAAAAAGTGGATCTACTCAGCCACCAGTTACATTGGTTTAAACGACCTCAGTTGAAATCACTGCAGATAACAACTAGGCATCAGTTCTCATCTCTCTTGTTGATTAATCAGTCCTTGTAACAACTATAGTTAAGGTGATGTAAGATAGGTAAGTGGTTTCCTCTTATGTGTTTGTGTGGAGATACTGTCTGCTTCTATTGCAAGTAATGGAAGTTTTCTGGTTTCTTTTGTTGCGGACCCAATTGCAGTTGGCTTCTTTGAAAGAACAAGTACGAGCGGTAATCTGATTTTCTAGTCTCCTACAGATGATGAAAGAAATTGCAGGAGCGTGATAGGTCTAAAAGTGAGGGATTGGCCTAACTGAAGAATAAAAAATAAAATGTATTTCAAAGCCAAGTTAGATTTAAGTTTGGTAGTATATCTTTAGGTAAGATAGAAGGAAGAAGTCACTTCATGAAGAAGCAGGTGAGACTTGCTATGTGGAGGTCGATAATTACATCTGCCCCTAGCTTTTGGATAGTTGGAGAGCACCAGTCTCAAACTCATATGCATTCCTTGTGAGGAATAGGACAAATTTGTTATAGTGAGAATGTTGACTTAACAAGTTACTATGCTGAAGTAGCTTTGATACAGCTACATGTAATTTATGCACCAGTCCTTGAGAGGTTATGTGACTGGCTATTTTGTGCATTCAGTGACAGAGTGTAATGGTATATCACAGAATCAGAGCATCATTTAGGCTAGAAGGGCCTTCTTGAGACCATCAAAGAAGGGTCAGCTAGAGTAGGCTGACCAGGACCATTTGTAGCTGGGTTCTGAATGTCTCCCAGATGGAGACTCAACAACCTCTCTGTGAAACCTATTCTGGTGTTTGACCACCCTCACAGCAAAAAAAAAAGTGTATTTTTGTGTTCAGATTGAATTTCCTTTATATTTATTTATTTTCGTTCTCCATTTGTACTCATTAGCTCACTGGGCAGTGCTGAGAAAAGTCTGTCTCCCTCTGTTTCATTCCTTCCCATCAGCTATTTGTACACATAAAAAGTGTGGGACAGTTCATGAATTTGCATGTCATACCTAGTCGATTTTTTCACAGAACTTTTTGACTGGCTTCGAACACCATAGAAAGCTTATCAAGTTTTATTTGGCTCTCAAACTATTTCTTCTGCTTTCCTCCAGCTAATGTCTTCCTTTAGGCTCCCAAAAGAAAAAGCTGAAAAGAAATCTGAGAGCCTTAATAGCAGTCAGCCTACACGCTCTACTCAGCCAGCTCTGGTAGGAAAAGCTACAGAAAGATAAAAAAAATGCCACAATTAAATAAATTTGCCAAAATCCAGGCAGAAGGGTGTGAAGTAATATGATTGTCTTAATACCACCATTGGTATGGAAGAGTCTCTGCACATGGGCCAAAGTTTGTAGACAATGTAGGCTGCACATACAAGATGAAAAATCCAAATTTAAAAATTATATAATTTTTGTCCGCCTGGAACTGTCCAGCTTATTATTCTGGATAAAACCTAATGAGTCACTTTGTGAAAGAAATAAGTTGTCTGATATTACTTAACAGGAGAATAAACACTGAGAGGATACTAATTTATGAGGATGTTAGTGGCTCCCATTTAGAGGAACAATATAGAAAATCCCCTTTAGACTGCAATAATTTACGTACTAACAGAAATGCTAGTTTTAAGTGTATGTTGGTACTTTGGCTGCCAGGTATTGTCAACACTTAATTTCTCAGGAATGGCCAGGAATCAGCAGTCTAGCTGATGATTTGAGAAGATGGTCCTATTCCACAGAGTAGCTGTGAACCACTTCCTGGGGGCTCCATGGACCCCAATAGGCTGTGGACCACGTTTTGGAAGTTATTATCATAACTAAGAGTTATAGGAACAGGCATAGATTTGTGAAGCCACAGAGATAATTTTAACACTTTCTGTATATAGTTTATCTTGCTGCTACTTCATGGGCAGTTGATTTGGAATTTATGAAATTCCACTTTAATTTAGATATTTATTCCAAAACTATCAGTTTTGGATACACATCTCCCATGTCTGACCCTTTGTGGAAACCCTTTGAAAAGATAAATTTCTTGGCAAGCTAAAGTTTTTAGAAGTTAAATCTTACTGAACAACTTTAGTAAGAAAAGGAAGTACAGAAAATTAAGAGTTACCCATTTTTCTTTAAGCTGTTACAGAATGAGATAAATTCATATCATTTAATTGCTCACTTCAGTTTCTCTGCAAGCAAATAATATTGTTGATTTTATATTCATAATTATTGCCAGAGGATGAAATCTTGTGGGTTTTTGTTTTTGTTTTGTTTTCTCATAATTAGCACAGATGCCATAGCCTTAGTAGATGAAATTCAAAAAGGAGAACCTCTCATCACAGCTTCGTGCAAGGAACACGTCATACATTTAGTACGAAGGTTGCAAGACAAGCTAGGGGAAAAAGAGGATCACAAGTTCTATCTTTTTAAGGTCAGACACCTTTAAAATAATTTTGGGGGGTTTCAGTTGTGATGTTGTGATTATGTTTTTCCTGCTGTGTGTTATGCCTGAAAGCAAAATTTGGGCTTTATGACCAATTTCTTGGCTATTTTCAATCACCTCTGCACTGTTTAGAGCGACTGAGTCTGACCTAGTTATGTCTGCCAGGTATTTCCCCAAAAGGCTTATGTACATAGGTGTGTTTTGGATGGAGAGAAATAATTATCTTATTTGTCAAATAAGACTCTGTGGACCAGCAACACCCATAGTTATGTTTGAACAAAACCTGTAAGTAGACCCCAAGTCAATTAGCCGTTGGGAAAGGCCCAAAATATTTTCATACCCTTGTCTCTTTGTTCTTCATTTTGTGAAAATTATGGTTTTTTAATGTACCCTGCTACATACAGTAATACTGGTTGTCAATGCTTTCTGCCATTACTATTATGTTTGAATATTGATAGTTTGATCTTCAGCTTACAGACAGCACTTAAAAAAATTATTTTGCATGAGTAAGCTTTTTAAGAAAAATTATTAGAGAGACATTTCAGGGCTTCAAATCCAGGATTCAGTCTGTCAGAAGAGAATAGGTTTAATTGCATTTTATTGTGGAAACAAAAATAAAATTAATTCCAGAGATTAAATGTTGTATGAAATAATCAAGTGTTGTATCTTTATTGTGTCAGCAGATGGCAATGTGTAGCTGTTAAAAATTGCTGGTCAGTGCTATGTCATTGTTACTTAAATTTAGAGAAAAGGGAGTAGTTTTGTGTTGGTTTGTTTGGCTAAAAAAAAAGCCTTACATGTTATTAGATATAACTTGGGATCTTCTGACCAACAGTACACATCTGGGTGAACTCTGCAAAGATCTGTGTATTTAACCTTGAAAACAGACCTATGTAATAAGGCATCTTAAATTTTAAAAGTTTCTGTTCTGTTTTAAGGTATGCTCTCAACTGAGATAATGCCTTGCTTTTCACAAGCTTTTAAAATTGTTTGTTCATCAAAGAGACTGACAAGTCATCAAATGCTGGTTCCAATGTCAGTGTAAATAATGTGTTTGTCCTTTGTTGGGTGTAGTACTATGTTTGAGCTTGTGTATTTGGGAATACTAGAGGCAGGCAAATCCAGTCAGTGTTGGCTTATTTCCTCCCTTCAAGAGTAGCTAGAAGTATATGAAAATAACTTGTTTTATGTTTCAGTTCCATTTAAGGCTTGTAAATGAAACATGAGTATTAGGTGCTTCTGAGATACTAATAAAATACGAGAGGTGGGTGGGAGTGAGCATTTTTTTTTTTTCCCCAAAAAAATGTTCACTGTGTTTGCGTTGTTTGGAAATGAATATTTTTTTCCTGTTGCACTGGAGCATAATCTTAAATGAGTGTATAAATGCATCTCTTTGTTATTTCCAGTAATTGTGGTGATGGTGGTATGTTAGGCACCCTGCAGAGAAACAAGCTTTTGGAACAATGTCTCAGGTTTTACACTATTACGTAGCAATGGTATGCTGTAGTGATTTGCAGATTTTTATCTTAGGGACTGCTGTAGCAGCTTTTGCAGAACTGAGTTCCATTTTTTAATATTGCCTTAGGGTTTGATTACTGTATTATTTGCACAAGCAATTCTTCCTGACTGAGAGTTCTGTGGATGAAGCAACAGCAGCACTGGGCATTGGAAGAACAGAATTAGTCCCATGATCTGAAATGGAACATAAACCTGTCTTATTTTCCTCCCTTTTTTTTTTTTTCATAATTGTTAAATATGTTTGTTGTTCAGAGCTGCCTACATGGAGCCTTAAAAATGTTGTGGATCAAATTTCCATAAATTTCCATAATCATCCATTCTCATATGCAGGTATTTGTATACTATGGCTGTTTTAAAAAAAGCTAAGTATTTTTGTCATTTCCACACCTTGATTGCCCATTCCCATTGCTGTAGCTGAATGTACAACTTGCCTTACTTTCCCTAGAAGACAAAAATTGCTGTTTTCTAACAGAAAAGATGTTTTCCATTTCTCTCAGTCCTTCACTTGAACATTGTTATTTCCATTTTGATCAGTCCCTACTCTTCTGAGCATCTCTGAGATCTTTTAGTTTTCCTTTTGGAGGCAGGCAGCTGAGAAAGCTAGAGATAAGAACAAAAAGTTGAAGCTTTGGTAATATGTCAGTGATTAAATGACATTGCTCATAAATAATTTATTCTTCATTCTTATGCTACAGAGGAAACCTAGTGGAACACTGGTGTATTTTTAACACCCCTTTACTTTACTGTCAACAATTGCTGTGATTTCCCAGGTTATGATTTTGTTATGCTTTAGACTTGAGCAGAATCCAGCTTGTAACAGGTGAAAATTGTTCAAATGCAAACCGTGTTATACAGTAGCCAGTTTATTCAAACACAAACCAGATTATATCTTTTTTGGTCATTTTCAAAGTATTGTGTCGTGCTGGCTTTCATTGGCAGTATCTGAAACCATTTTCACCTGTGTTTAATAAGCCCTAATAAATATTATTATGGCTCTGAGAAAACTTACATGAAACATGTACAAAACTGTCTGATTAAAGGACCTTCGAAGCAATGTTGGGAAAACAGTGACCTCCATGACCTACACAATACAGGCAGACATCAAATTTGAAATTCCCCCTTTGAATTTTGTCTTAATCAGTATCTTTGTCATGATCTCATAGGGTGTAGATGTAGCTTATTTCTGTTCTTCCTGTTTTTTAAAGCAAAATCATATACTAGCTGAAACTGTCCCATAACTTAAAAGACTCAAAATACTCAATTCAGCTGTGTCTCTTGATTCACTATATAAGGCTTCATATTAGTTGGGATTTCTTTCATCAGTAGTCTCACCAGGCATGATCTCCTCACTTGTTTGGTTTTGCCCTTTCAGCTCTGGTCTAGGGTTACTTTGATGGTATCAAGAGAAGGTGGAGAAAAAGCAAACATGGCGGAAAAGACAGTTCATTCAAATAAAATATATTTTTGAAATCAACACTATGTAATATCTGCGGTGATAACCTGCTGAAGCATGGGGGATCTTTTATTTAGGCATTAAAGTATTACAGCTGTAACTGCTAATCTGACAGGAGGAGGAGGAAATATTTACCTATTGAATATTTTGAGCAATTGTTTGGTTTTGAGTTTTTGTTAATTTGCATCAAATATTGTTTTCTTCTCCCTTCCCCCTACTTCTATTTCAGGTACTTAGAGCACATATATTGCCACTGACTAATGTAGCATTTAACAAATCTGGTTCCAGGTAAGTTATTTTCAAGGTCCAAATACATAATCACTAATTGAAGTTTTGTATTTGTAATTTAAATTGTAAGGGAATTTCAGCACTCTTATCTTGCTGCAAAAATAATTCAGCTGTGCTGCTTATAAGCAACTTCAAGCGTAATTGGGGATTAGATTTCAGGCCTCTGTGGGAGAACCAATGGGAGATGCAAAAAAGTAGCAGGTGAGATTCAATTTACATAATTTTTTTCTTCCAAGGTGGTAATTTGTTGCCAATTACTGTATTTCAGAAAGAAGCACCTTCATGACAACTAAGTGAATATAACTAAAAGCTAAATGAGTGTTTGACATAAATTCATTTGGGACTTTCACTGTAGTGGAATTTCATGTTAATTGATTTCACTGTGGGTGTATGCCTAATCAATTTTTCTTTTGTGTCTTGAAAGCAGAAGCCTGCTTTCTAGTTAAAATACATTAAAGATTGGAAACAAGTTTTTTTAATGAGTAATATTTAAAAAAAAAAAGGAACCTCTATGGTCATTATTCTGTATTTTTAAAAGAAAGAAGTGATTTAGAGTCTGAGACAGTGCTAACTGAAATCTGTGGCAATAACTCATTTGACTATGCACCAGGACCAGTAAGACATCTACTGATACTCAAATTAATTTCTCTTTGCTTTAGCTTTATCACTGGAAGCTATGACAGAACCTGCAAAGTATGGGATACTGCATCAGGAGAGGAGCTACGTACGTTGGAGGGACATGGAAAAGTTGTCTATGCAATAGCTTTCAATAATCCCTATGGGTAAATATTTTTTCTCTGAGATACATCGTAATTGCTAATCATGTTATTTTGCAAATACAGAACTGTTACTCAAACATAAAATAGACTGTCTTAAATTGAAAGAGTTCAAATTCTGGGTGTATAAAGTCCAACTGTAGCTAATCACCATGGGATGACACTGCATATTATTTGCATCAGAGATATATTCAAGCATGTTTTCTGCTATAATTTTTTAAAATGAAATTTAGAAGTTAAAAGCATAAATTTCATTAGGTATTCAGTGTCTTGAAAAATGCATATATGAGTCAGTTTAATATATTGAAACACAGATTCATTTCAATAATATCTACATGATCAGATTGCTTTCTGAATGTTAATCATTCTTTCCTATCTCCATGTAATTGTGTATGATGTGACATATGAGTATTTACAACAGCTTGTGTTGCTTCAGTTAAGGAGAAAGAAGATTTCTGTCATAACAAAAGTGGATTTCTCCATTTGGTGTTACACATTCATAATTATTTAGGACGTGATTTAGAAATATCACACCTGCTGAATAATTTTTATAAAATCCACAGGGTGCCGCTGTATGAATGTCAAATATGAATCTGTGCATCTTTGTTTCTGCAATAACTGTTTGCCCTGGGTTAGAATTGCCACCTGTTATGTAGAGGGAATTACATCTTACCTACTCAGTTTCATTGTTGTTTGCTTCCAGAGGAAGCTGTTGTGTGTAAGTAAACAATTTTGCTTCTCTGCAAAATAAGAGAAATTAATTCCTATTTTTATATTGAATCACATTTCTTCTTTTGCTGTCAGATGTCCTATTTATCAGTTAAGCAATACACAGTTAACATCAGGAAATAAATGTTAAAGACTTGTTCTTGCACTATTTGGAGCATCATCATTTCCTTCTAAATTGAAAGACTTTATCTAACCTAGAACCCGCTATAACAGTGTCTTATACTTTGGTATTATTCTTTACTTCAAAAAAGTGATTAGTGAAATTCATTTATATAATGTGAAGAAACTAACTATGACAAGAATCTGTGCGAAGATCGATAACTAGACTGTAAAGGAAGTGGAGAAGCAATATATAGCAAGCAAAAACGTGATGAGAACCTTGAGCTACTTTTAGATTAAATGTTCAGTAAAAAAAGAACTTTGTTTTTTCTGCTAATCTTTAGATTTCAATACAGTGTCCCTTGTTACATTTTCTGGGTGTCTTACTCAGTTCAATGTTGCTCCAACTGCAGTTGGTCACAATGCTTCCACGGACTTTAGTGGAAGTGGACTTCAACCTCTGAAACTTGGGTAAACTTATAAAAAGAATTTATAACTGTTGATAAACAGATACTATCTGATGAAATGACATAACTTTTAAACACATCTGGAAGTACAGCAGATACCCTCATCCCTAATGTAGGTTGTGAACACTTCTGTGCTAATAGATAGGCACAGTGGCTCTTTTAGAAACTAATTATGTCTGCTAATTTTTTTCCCTTAACATAACTCCTGTTTGTGAAATCCAGCTCCAGGATCTTGTAGTGTGCAGAGTGCACCAAAACACATGCAAGCTTTGATGGTTGGGTATTGTTTCTGTGAGTTCTACTGTCTTCAAAGTCAAAGGTTTTTTTCTAAATAAAAATGACAGGATTTTTGCCATTTAGTGACAAGATTGCCACTGGATCTTTTGATAAAACCTGCAAACTCTGGAGTACGGAAACAGGAAAATGTTATCATACTTTCAGAGGACATAGTGCAGAAATAGTGAGTACTGATGGACATTTCTTATTCCTTTATGCTTCCTCACGTCGTCATTGATGTAGGTTCCAGGTCCCTGTGAGCTGACATTGGAAGGGGCAGCAATTCTGCTGCATCTGTTCACATGTTCAGACATTGTCAACATTTCTGCACTGCAAGAAAAGACAGTTGGACAGTTCTTAAGAAATAGAATAAAACATTGCATACAGTTTGAAATGTTGTTATTTTTAATGTATTCCAATTTCCCTTATTTGCTAAATGTAAACACAGTTTTGAAAAATACCATAACAATTGGAATTTTTAATTTATTGCAAATATTTGTTTTGATTTGTTTACATATCTCTTTTTTTTTCTAGATATCTTTCATTGCCTCTCGTATTTGCAGGACTAAATACACAAGAACATCATTACTTGTATTGCCGTCTTTCATGTTGAGATCTGTACTTCACGTACAGGGCCAACTGGAGCCATAGGAGAATGAATTTCTGAAATTTTAAGTGTGTTAAGTAGGAAATATGTGGGATGCTGAAATGCCAAAGATATAGGAAACAAAACCAGTTTAAGCTTAAAAATGGTTTCCTTTCCAATGAACTAGGGGCCCTATTAGCAATAGCAAATATCTCAATGCACAGCATTCCAATTTAAAAGATCAGGGCAAATCCACTGTAACTCTTAATTTCAATGCAGAATATAGATTTTTTTTTTTTTAAAACAAAAAATAGCTATACAATCATTATTTGATAAAGCATTTCTGGAAATTGTAATATAATTTGTAGATTGTGAGGCTTGTAACTAGTGTGAGAAAATGGTGGGTTACCCTGGTGGAAGATGAGGTTGGTTTCAGTGAGATTTTGATTCTCTGGATACTTTGAAAGAGTTACCCCTTTCAATGGAGAACATGTTTGCTTATTGAGACAGGCTGCAGTGATTTTGCATCCACAAATCAGTTACCTAAATATTTAAGGGCCTCTTGATTTCTTCTTCCGTAAGGGGTTAGATTAGACCCGAAGTGTTAAGAGTTGTGTTAGGAAGTAATTAGTAGAAGATAATAGCCAGCAGAAAATGATGTATTTCTCTGAACGAGACCTGTTTCCAAAAGGCCATTGCTGAATATGAGATGTTGTTGGCAAGGGCATATTCATAGTTATTCAGTATAAGAAAAAAAAAAAGAAATGGACATAGTGAAAATGCACCAGTGAGCTACTGTTTTCCTTTTTATGAGGCACCTCCTATTCTTTATTAGTAGAACAATCCTATTGAATAATTACAGAGAATGGGAAGGTGATCACATGATTTTTTCATGTGAAAAATGAATTAAGGAAGTTGTTGAGCTTTTGTTCTTGCTTTTTCATAAATAAATATAATGTTGTGGGGACGCTGTTGGCAAATGGCCTAGATAATGACATGTATTAAGATAAGGGTGTGACTGTACACAGTGTGTTTGTGGGTACACAAAACTGTCTGGAGGGTCTGATCAAGTTAAAGAGGAAGCCTACCAAATGATAGTGTTAGGGAGGACTGTCAGGTGGATTGAACAGCAACTAGAAAATCTCAAAGAGAATTTTGAAATAAAGGAAAAGAAAGAACTAGAGAAAGATAAAAGAATCAAGGCAATTTATAACAAGATGAGGGAGACATTAGTCTGGAAGTAGCAGTTGTCAAAACTTGCTCTGTTGCTTCAGAAGTCACCCTGGGCATCCCAATCTCTGCTTGGACCAAGGAGTGTAGCCTTCCTTTTGGAGACACCATGAGGAGTCTGCTAGTGGAGGAGTTGGCTAGTGGATTGTCAGTGTGGAGTTCAACAAAGAGGCCCCATTGTGCCCCCCGTAAGATGTGCATATGTGAATTTGGATGCCTTCTCTCTGACGTTTGAATTGGCAGGTTGTAGGTGTGGCATGGGTTCAACTAAAGCTAGAGCACTCATTCTCGTAGAGGAGGTGTGTGCAAGTAGGGGAACACACCCTCCCAGGAAGGGGGGCTGTGCTTGTAACCCACTTATCCTGTGAATGGGGACGAGCATGCAAGCAAGAGTGTGAAAGTGTCTGTGTGATTAAAACTTCTTGGAGTTAGAGAAGGTTTAAAAATTTGTAGCTGTTGAATAAAATTGCGTAAGTTTATCTGTTGTGTTACAGATACTGAATACATACTTCTCTGCCAGTTAACTTTGTGCTGTTAATAAATGAACAAACTGCCTCCGTCTTGATTTTCATTAAAACTTTGTGAACTAAGTAATTTCTCACTATGACACAAAACAAAGCAGCTAAATAGTGAATTTTGAGCCAAGCTCAGAAAACAATACAGGAAATCTTCCAGTAAGTCTTGTTAATGCATTGCCATTGCAAAGCAGTCAATTAGTTCATTTGATTTGAGACGTCATCCAGAGCTATGTGATAAGGAGTTGTTGGTTTTCTGGTGAGCATCTGTATGCCATAAAATATTGTTAGACTTTTGTCTTGTTTAAAACGGTTGATCCTGACCCAATGTTTTTTGAAAAAATGTATATAAATACTCCCGCTTTTTCTATCCAAATTTTCTTTCTACAGGTGTGTTTATCATTTAATCTTCAGAGCACATTGGTGGCAACTGGAAGCATGGATACCACCGCCAAATTATGGGATATAGAGAAAGGAGAAGAAATAGTCACTTTAGGGGTATGTTTGCCTTCCTTACATTTTTAAAGTGTTCCTTATTTTCTTAGTTTTGTGAGATAAATAACAGTATAACCATTACAACAGTTTCAAAGCTCGCAGAGTTTCTTTTAGCAGGTGGTCCCACAGTGACTGCATTTACAAAACAGATTAAGAAAACTTGAAGGGAATGATAAAAATATTTTATAATAAAGGTATTTTGTAAGAAGTCCTATTTATCAAAAGAGAGATTTTCTCATTTCACAGTCGTTGCTGCTATGGATTGGAATGCCTTCCATTGCATGTTAAAACATTTTGCTACACTGTAAATTATGACCTCCTCTGATTAACATAAAGTAACCCTGAGAACATTAATATCAGGCACTACATATGTATGGATCTTCCTCCTGGAACCATTAGCAGAGGACAGCCATCCAATTACCTCTAGATTGTGATGTCTCTTTGCTCTGGAATTCGACAGGTTCAGATTGGCCTGTGCTGTTTCAATGCATTTCTCTTGCATAAATCCTAAATAACAGGTAGTTCATAAACTTCCTTTTGTATATGTGGCCTATAGAGTGAGGAAGGCATTTTTTCTTCCTTGACTTTCTCTTTCTCAGAGTCCTGAGCAGAGCAAAGAGCAGTGGAATGTGTGAACCTTTAACTTATAGGTATGCTGACATTCATTTTTCCAACCCTTTCCACCAACACCAATGACAAGCTGTACTGTAGTTTGCTGTAAATGAATCATCTGATTTCAGTATGTATTGGTGAACAAATATTTCAATCAAATATGAAAAATACGCACCGATGACATCTTTGGACAATTGCTCACTGCTTAAGTGATGTGTCTAATTTTTTGCAGTTGTTGTGGTATTGACTACTCTGCAGTCTAGTAGAGCTTTGTGTCAAAATTGTGATACACTGGACAAGACAGTAAATAATATATTGAAGGGTTATAGAATGATTATGCTGCTGAAAAGAAGCTACATATTAAACTACATTAATGGAAAAGTTGTAGTTTGCATTCTCATGCTCCTTTTAAAAAATTTTCTCAGGGACACTCCGCAGAAATTATTGCATTGTCTTTTAACACCACTGGAGATAGGATTATCACTGCCTCCTTTGACCATACAGTAGCAGTGTGGGATGTTGGCACTGGCAGGTACTAAAGTACTAATAAATGTAATTTTACTTTTTATGTTTTAATGACAAATGAAAGAGAAAATGTTTAGCTACAAATTACAGACCTTGTATTTTTGCTTCATTTAGAGTATGTGTTCCTTCATTTTATCATTTGTTACTGCTGTTCCCTTTGTTCTTCTGAAAATGAATGCTGCTCATGAAATGCTTTTGTGTATGTTTTTGTTCTAAATTTCCGTCTTATGAGCACTGAGGAGGCAGACAGAATGGACAGATCCTGTGTTGTTACTGATGAATTCTCCAAACAGGAAAACATTTTCTCAACAGGGAAACTCGTGGTTTGGAAGGTGTCTAGATGGAGCAGATTGTTTGAGTAGAAAGAGTATATTTTATGTCATAGAAAAATGAGTCTGGTCATATCGTCTGTAAAAACTATAGAGAGTCTATTTTGCTTCTCACAATCCTTTACATCAATATAAATTTATGACGAGGCGAAAATTTGGTCCCTCTGACTTTAGAGAACAAAATGTCTTGATTATGCTGTGAACAAATAATAATGTAGTAGCTAAATAAGAACTTGTATTATTCTGACAAATCCACTTGTTTTTTCAACTGGAAACTCAGTATAAACAGAATAATAAAATGATTGCCCTCATTACTGACACAGTAATTTATGAAGGTAATGATTCTATTATGTTTTCAGAGGTCATGGCTTTTTTCTTTTTGTGAGAGCAAGCAGAGTATCTCTGAAATTTACATGTAAGAGTAAAGTGTATAGTGATGTCTTAGGGTAATAAGCAACGTGTATTGCTTCAAAAGGAGACTACTCATGTGATTTAAAAAATAAAGTACACATAGTACCTAATTTAAGGCTTGATTCTGTAAGCTTTGAGCTTATTCGACACCAGCGGTTTAATGTTTGGTGTGTAAATACTTAGGGGACTCTCATTCAGGAAATCTGACCCTCGGATTCAACTTCATTTGGCTGGTGTTGCAAATATTTTTTGCTTGAAAACAGCTGCTTCTTCCAGCTTCTTGTCTGAGCCTGCAGTGGAGTCAAAGTCTCGGGGTTTTCATGTTGTATTCTTTTTCTCTAAGAAATTAATGTGGACTTCACATCAGGGCCAATACTAGGTAGTGGACTATGAGGAGAAAGTTCTCATTTAAACACTGGCAGCTCTGTTAGTTAGCTAGTGGGCAATATAATTGTGGCAGGGCCAGCATTCAGCCTTTTAAATGGCAGCTGGGGATGTGTACATTCAGTAACAACGAAAAGTTGCAGTCAGACAGACTGAACGAATCATATTTTACGATATACAGTTCAAGTAGATTTGCAAAAATCTTGTAGGTGAGCTTGTGTGTGCCTGTCTTTCACCACATGAAATACATAAAAACCATTGCTTTCCAAATGTGGGGTTGAACTTGAAGTTTCTTTTAATTTGGTGAGTATCCAGAATTGTCCTGAGGTAGGTTGATGTAGGGGCAATAAATCTTAAGAAGGTTCAAGATTTTTCTTCATAAAATGTTAAAATAAAAAAGGCGAGGGGAGGGAACACGACGACACACGACACCAACAAAATGCTTTTGTGATACAGATCTGTATTTCATCAATAATTTCTCCATGGCAGCTACAGTCAGCTACAGTTCAGTTGAAGGTATCTTTAGAGCTTCATTTGACGAATCAATGGGGTCAGGTGTGCTGGACACCAGGATGCTGAGAGACAGTTTCTTCTTATTTGCAATTATGGTGCAAATATTAGAGCATCTGTATATTAAGTTTCAGTGGAAACTGAAGGCTAAAGAAGTATTATCATGACTGAAGCTGATTTTTTTATTTTGTTTTTTAATAATTTAAATGGATTTTTTTTTATTGCATTTCACAAGCCTGCTTTCTGTGTTCTTTCTAATTGTGTATCTGATAGGTAGCGGTTTCTGCGAGGTGTTCCACATGTTGCTATTTATTCTGCTTATTGATTGGATAGTTACGTTGAAGCTTGAAGCCCAGACTGCCTTTTTGAAATTGGGAAATTAAAGCTTTTAAATTAAAACTTTTTTCATTGTTAGGTATTTGGGGTATTAAGTGTTACAATAATAGCAGTCTTGATGGCCAAATAGTACGTTCACAAAATTAAGAAGTTTTCCACTGTTGTTTTGTGCTTGTTGATTTTTTGTTTTACTGTATAAATGTCTGCACAATTACAAGAGTACAGGCCTCACAGCGTTAGAAAGTAAAAATAGTCATTCTGTAAAATGACATGAGCATAATCAAGTTTTTGTTATCATAAACAAATAGAAAATTTAATTGCTTAGGAGATTTGCTTTGCTATTCATTTAGCGTATATATTCATTTAGCTACCCTTACATATCTTATGCAATTAATAAAACCATTTCAGTCACTTAAACTTATTTAGCTGTTTTCCTAGTCATTAGTTTATCCATTATTTAAAGCAATTTTCTATTAATGATACAGTGATATTAGGACTGTGATAATAACCTAATTTACTAATCCTTTAATGTATATAGATCAATTAATCTCTTTTTAGGGTTTGTTGCCTTATAGACAATCAATTCATAGGAAGTAATAATGGCTGATTGTATCCTCTTTATTTGGCTAAAGCTGAAGAATTTAATGGAACTAGTACTAGTCTTGTGCTGCAAGAAGTTTAGGATTAATGAGGATTAGGAGTCATATTTCAGTTTGTCCATAATTTGCCTGTTACTTTGGAATATGCCCATGTTAAGTACCTGATTAAGTTCCATTTGATCTTCAGTGGGCTTTATAAAAGGTTTAGATTATATGGAGTTTTAAAGATGTACTGTTTACAGTTCGTTGAAGTAGGATAATGGGAGAGTAATGTGGAAAAACTTGCTGTAGTAGTATGTATGTAGATGAATACAAGAAACGTACTTTGTATCTAGATGAATACAAGAAATCTGGCACTGGAAAGTCATTGCATATCACTGGAAATACATTCACTGAAATATTTGTGAAAGAGAAGGGAGGACTTTTCAGTTTTATTCCTTACCACCTCTCTGTCTCAAAGATAAAAAGTGGAATTGATGTAGTACTAGAATCATAAATGAGCTGTACCACTCCATTTAATTGCTTTAATGGATAAAATGGTGACGATTTGACACCTTAATTATGCCATTTTATAAACTTACTTATAATTTATATGCATATATAAAAATACACACTAAAAATGTAAATTCTCTTTTTTTGTAGGATGTTACATACTTTAATAGGTCACCGAGGAGAGATTAGCAGTGCACAGTTCAACTGGGACTCTTCTCTCATTGTCACTGGATCAATGGACAAAACATGCATGGTAAGAAAGTTGAGTATGTACTGAATACAACTACTTGGTATATAAAAATATATCTTTTGTAAATGGAAGAGTGTTGTTTTAAACTAGTACAGGTACTTCATTAAAGAATTTCCAACTAAATGCAAAACCTGTAAGCTTATTCATTTCAGTGAAGTCTAGATAAATAGTAATATCTATTTTAAGTCTCATTTAATCAATACATTGAAATAAAAAAATAGTCATTAAACTGACTAACCAGTGAGTATTGAGTTATATCCAGGTCTCATGTTAATACATTGTCAGGCATCGGCCTCTACATGTGGCTTTATGGATCAACTAGAAATCTATCAAGTAAATTAGTCAAAATAAGCAAAAAACCCCTTTATTTACCTGTGCAGCTGTGGAATGCTATGACTGGGACACATATAGCAACTTTAGCAGGTCACAGTGATGACATATTGGATGTCTGCTTTGATTATGCTGGCCAGCGTATTGCAACCGCCTCTGCAGATGGTAAGTGACTGGGACTGCTGTAAGAATCGCAGTACTAGCATAAAATGCCTTTGTCCTTTTCCTTTGGTTTTGCTTTGAATGTAGCTTGATGAAAGAGGAGTATCATGACTCGAAACTATAGATCGAGAATTGTTTGTTGCATTATAGAAAGTCGTCCCCAGTGAAAATGTACTTGTTTTTCATACTTTAATCAACTCAACGTGCCTTTCCCTTTTAACTTCAAACTTGCAGAGAAATATTTCACTTGTGTCTGGAAATGCATTTTAAATGTTTAGGTAAGTAGCTCTTGAGTGAAATTTGGTTTGGGTGGCTCAAATTTATGCTTACATGAAAAAGGTAGTTGGAATTTTAACAGTGGATTTGCCACTAGGCTTTCCAAATGTACAATAAGAGACTACACGATAAAGAGGTAGTGGAAGAAGCAAATTGATATGTAGCATTTTTGCATGCTTACTAATTTTTTAGGAATTGCAAAAATAGTTTTTTGTATTCACCTGCACGGTGAATACATTCTGACTCAGTTATAGTGCATAATGATAACACCGTATTACTTTTGCATACGTAAGTGTTTTGATTTCAACTTCCAGAAATGTGATACCAGACTGGATGGGGGCACTGTTTGGATCTGATTTTCTGTAGTTGCTAAATTAAGTCATAAGACAATGTAAAAATTTTCCTGAAATGTAATCAATAGCTTGTTAAACATCATAAAAAACTTATTAAATAGGATGGGTATCTGAAATATAATGAAAGCTACCTGAAGATATTGTACGTGCATTCTGAAATTAAAGACTTTGGTAGTCTGTGTTCTATGTGGATATTTGTATTCACATTTAGAAGTTTTCCAGCAGAAACCATTAAGAAGTCAACCTTTTCCAAGCAGATTATAGATCTTTTGACATGCTTTACCCTTAGGGGAAACTGTGTTGAGATTGTCTTCTGTTTGTTTTGACATCAAACCTGAGGATGAGGTCCTTTTGACCTTATTAAAATGTTCTTATTGAAATGCATGCTTGAATATAACAGTCACAAAATAGCTCCTAATGTGCTACAACAGGATCAGCGAGAGTCTATAATGCAGAAACAAAAAAGTGCATTGCAAAGCTAGAAGGGCATGGAGGTGAAATTTCAAAGGTAAGTTGTTTGTGGTTTGCACCTTTTCTTGTTTGATTACGTGTGACATCCAATCCACCAGTTATTCCATGACACAGGAACACTGTTAAAGAATGTGGTGGTAACATCATTAATATTTAAGGTTGAGATGTCTGGCTAAGAAGTTATCTTTCCTAAAAGAACATTCCTTTTGACTAAAAGCTATCAGTCAACAATTGTTTCCAACTCCCCACTTCTGAGCTAAGATAATACTGGATGTGCTACTCCTACAGGCTCCACCAAGAGCCATGTCTCCATATTGTCGTGTTCTTTACTATTTGATTCCTTAGAATTGTGGCAGTTAGCAAGATACTGAAGTCGGCCATCCCTCCCAGGGATGGATACCTGGCTTTGTTAGCATTGAAATGATTGTTTTTCCTTACCTCTTTCCTTTTTCTGAAAGAGTATATAGGTGATCACTTGGCAGAGAACAGGGGAGCAGAGAGGGAAACGCTGTCTGAATGTTCTCTCACTATGATCATAGTTAATAGAGCTTGTGTTGGACCTGTCCTAAATTGTATTTGTGTTATTACGCCCTTGGAGTCCCCAGATTCTCTGACAGAATAAGCACAAGTTTTTTAGTCTCTAGATGAGATCTTAAGGCTATTGCCTCTGAGGCTTTTACCATCACCCTTGTTCCTTCCTTCTACTGGATCTGCTCTGTTTTACTCTTTTTCATTTCTCTGCACACCCTATTTGTGGAACAGAATAGAAAAAAACATATTTCTGTGGCAAAATACCTGGATAGTCTTATTTTCAAAAGTTAATAAGGTGCTTGGAAGTATAAAGCCTGTTTCAAAAATCACGTGGTCATGAGGAGTGTGCTCATGTACTTTGCCAGAAGTCTTGTCTGGCTCAATTTTGAATGCCAAAATTCTGTTCCAAGTACATTTAGTTGTACATGTTTTTAAAACTTTGTTATTTAATGCTTGCAACTTTTCATTATTCTTTCAAATGGATAGTTTTCACTAGCTTCCAGGCAAGTCTGCTAAGTCTGTGCTACTTTTATTTGGTATATTTTGTAACTGAAATATTAATATTTTGAAACTAGGATGGTTCTTAGTGAACAAAACTCGCATGCTTTCATTGTATTGATTTGGCTATCATATTCACTCCACTGAGAGAATACTAAGTTCAGAAGGGCTAGTCTTTCCTCACTTAATATAGTCACTGCAATATTTCCAGTCTGTGTAGATGCACTGAGGAATGTGGTGTGAATACATGCTGACATGTGCGTGGGTTAGGGACAGCTTCCATCAGGGTCCTTAGTGCTGACATGATTTCTTTGCTGGAAGTGAGAGTCTGCTCGTCCAGGAGCGTGTTGAACAGTCAATCTAGTTCTGCAGATGTTCTTTGTAGCTTGGGAAGCTTATTACTTGGAAATTGTATTTCTGGGGAACAGGCCTTTTGCCCTCAGTAATTAAGCAATTTTGCACTGTATAATAAACCCAGTCCTGTCTTGTTAGTGCTATAAAGATATATCTGACTATCTGGAAATGTGTGCAATTTTGGCAATTAATGTTTAACAATTATGAAGCCATACTACAGAATGAGTTTCCTTCAGTGGAAGTTTTGATGTTACAGAGACATATATTATTTAATGTAGAACTCTATAAAATATGTATAAATTTTGCATTGGCATAATGATAACATTTAAATAACATTACAGTTGCAGAGTAATTGTGAATTGTGGGGGATAATATTCTGAAGTCTTGATCCTATAGCAAGGTCATTGTATGTAGACCTTTGCACATACACGCAGTTCTCAGCCATAGAAGTTTGCCAGAGTGACTAGTGGAATACTACCCTTAATTTTAACTGAAAAGCCGAATTCAAGAGTTGCTGTTTCTGTTTTCATCTTTTAGTCACTAGATATGCTTCCTTTTCTAGGCATATTGACTTGCTAAGTAATATAACTCTTTTCTATATTTTTTTTAAAGGTATGTTTCAACCCTAAAGGCAATCGTATACTAACAGCCAGCTCTGATAAAACAGCTCGACTCTGGGATGCTGCTACTGGACACTGCCTTCAGATATTAGAGGGTCATACTGATGAGTTATTCTCCTGTGCTTTCAATTACAAAGGAGATATAATCATTACAGGTAACTAATATATTCAATTTTTTAAAAATTTTTTTGAGAGTCATTTGAAATCTTGTTATGGCAAAAAAAAGTAAGAGTCTGAAAAGTTTCTTGGGGCCATATCCCAAATGCAGGTACCAGCAGTGACTTAAAATATAGTCAAGAAAAGCTAGAAACTCACTTTTGAACTGAGGCTTGAGTGATCATGTCCGTGAATGAATTTGTTTAAAGGCATGGGCATACCCTACCACCTCTCGTATGGGCGTATACTAGCACCAGACCAGTGACTAAGCCATTTTCTCACAATTCATTGCAGTGAGGGAGGTCTGGATGAGCAAAAGGCAAAGCTTTTTAAATAGGAGCACATTTTGTATATTTGGCACTGAAGTCTGTTCAGTTTTCCTTTATTTCAGACAAAAAGTCGTGGGAGTGGGAAAAGACATGAACAGAGTATTTGTGATTGCTTCAGTCTTTTGACTGAACTACCAAAATATGTGATGTAGGATGATCTCAGCTAAAAATATTGCTGTAGGTCCTGCTGTCTTGTACTAATCATGGACAGAAAAAATTCTCTGGCTCCTTGGCATTCTGGGTAGGTTGTTGATGTAGGTGTTAACAAAAATGGATAAATTGTGTGATGCACTTAAATGATTCCTTCACAATGTGTGTTTATTACTAGGGAGCAAGGATAACACCTGTAGAATATGGCACTGACTGAAGAGAAAGAAAGATCCAGTGTGGTGTATGCCTACTTTGTGAGTTTCATAGTCAATAAACTCAATCTTTCAGATCTGTTTTCTTTTACCCTCTTTGTTTGCCTTCAATTTTGCTGAAGTAGAAAAGTTACCTGGATTTTGATAGGTTTGGCTTTGCTAATGTGTGGTAGATATGGAGTCACAGAGTAGTAGAAGTTGGAAGGGACCTCTGGAGACCGTCTAGCAACACCCCTGCTCAAAGCACTGTCAACCAAGCAGGCTGCCCAGGACTGATGTGGCTTTGAGTATCTCTAAGGGCAGAGACTCCACAGTTTCTCCAGGCAACCTGCTTAGAGTTCGATCACTCTCACAATAAAAAAAGTTGTTTTTTTTTTTCCTTATGTTTAAATGGAATCTTTTCTTGTGTTTCAATTTGTACACATTGCCACTTTGCTGGCTACCACTGAGAAGAGTCTGGCTCTGTTATTTCATTCACTTGAGAGAGATCATGATTAGTGTGAAAGGATACAGCAGGATGGTCCCATTTCTTTGTGTGTCTTTTTTAGCTTGTAACCCTTTTGGTAAAAAAAATACAGCATTATAATACTGCCAGGTGTGAAAGGGGTGTTGTTATGCACTTACTTTAAGTACTTTTGTATTAATCTTTTTGTTGTGTAATAAAGTATTGAGTTAAAATGCCAGTTTCACTACTTGTAATACAATATCCCTCTTGGTATTTCTGGACAAAACCAGTGACCAGTTGCAAAATGCATTGATATTAACTATTGCAGGCATGCTGTAGTTAAACTCCCACTCACCCCCCTTTCATACTTTCCCACATCTTTCCATTCATTCCATTCCTTTCTGCTCAGCCCTCATTCTATTTTCACCTAAGCTAAAAAAAATAGTATGGGTGGTGTCTCCAACTCTGAATCCTGGCCCACAGTTTATGGCCAGCATGAAGAAACTTTACACACCAAAGACTTGGAGCCAAGGATCATGACATAAACTGAGAAGTGGATGGGAAACTCCTGCAAGTTGTTTACCACCGTACAATGAGCTCTTGCCCAGGCTTGCCTCTTGCCAGCAATTGCCAACAGGTTTCACCTGTGCAGAGCTCCCCCCACTTCCTAGCAGAGCACTTGAAACTGCAGTTGCTCTTTGAAGGGGAGTAGCAAAGGAGCAGAGCTGACTGATCTCTTCCAGCAGCCTTGGAAGAAGGCTGAAGAGGTAAAGAGGGTAGGGCTGAACAAAGTACGTGTGTTGTCTGACAGGAAGAAAAGAAGTGTGCAGCAGAGCATGGACTTGAAGGTATTTTGCTTATATTTTAGATTTCCTTGTGGTTATGGACTTGACTTCTAAATGTTGTTAAATTTAATATGAAGTTATTAATGCTGATGCATTCTGACTAGTGCTTGCCAGGATTCTTGTATGTAAATGAAGAAACAAAAATGCCTGTCATCACTTGGCAAATATCCTGGTTGTTTCAAGTATTGTCATGTTGTGGAAGAACTAAGCAGTGTGCTGCAGATCATTTAGAATTAAACTTTACCAGTAAGCAAAGTGGCTGATATTAATGTCACTGTAATGTTTGGTGTTTCCTGTTGTCTTATGACTTATGATATCGAAAGTGTGTCTCAGTAATCTGGAATTGAAAGGGGCAGGAACGGCAAGGCAGTTCTGTGTTCTTTTAGAATTGCCCAGTGTCCCTAGATCAGTTTGCATCTGTACTTACAAGTGTAGCATGGGGGATTTCCAACTGCCAAAAATGGAGGAGAATTAGTGTAATGAAATGTAATGCTACATAGTGAAAAACTGAAATTTGACTTGCTGTGTAACCATCACAAAGTAAAAAAATTATTTGGACTGTGTTTAGAAAGTAGATTTTTTTTTTTTTTTTCTTAATCTTTCAGGTTGGGTTATTTGCTTTTTTCTTTGATTTTTCTGTTATGCTATGCTAGTGATTCAGTGAATCAAACATCTGTGTTAGCTTTTGGCTTCAAGCTGTTGTCCTATTTTTATGTGAAATTGTGAGTCGAGGTTTCATATGCTAAGCATAGGACTGGGAAGCTATCTGGGCTCTGTTTCTGACTCTTCCTAGATGCACTGAGTGAGTAGAATTGCTTTCCGGGTGAAGTTATCCAGGTTTTCTGCTCAAATGTGAAATGCTTTCAAGTCTGGTGTGATTCCCAGCATTGCTGAAAAGTCTGCTGACTTGGCACCTCGTAAGAACTTCAATAGCACTCTAGGTACCACCATATGAATGTTTTGATGTTAGGCTCACTGCACCTTGCTTTACCCATACATATATTTAAAAAACTAGAGAGATGTATGTTGAGTGTGTTGTACAGCTGTATCATCCTGAAACCATTCTGTGTCTCTGGTAGCAGCTTGATCCCTTTCTCTAATTACACTTCAGTCCCTGCAACTGAAATAGTGTGTATGTGTGTATGCTGTATTATCTGGTGCCTTGTTAATCTTATAAAGCATTTGGCTTCTACACACCTTGCATTCTCCAAGCTGCTACTTTTAATCACTGGGTTGCTGGAGTGAGGTGTGGCTGTCCACATTACCCTGAAATGGTGGCAAACTTGATTCACTGTGGCCTTATTGAAAAGGATTACCTCAGGAAACTCCTGAAGTGCGCTTTAGGAAGGACTGTCACAGTGGAAATCGTATTTGCTGTATTGTTTCTGTCCTTTAGACCTCTGAATCCTTCCAGTATATACCTCTGTGAATATGCAAGTTTGTTCTTCTGGGAAAGAAACCCTTAGCTTGTATCATGTAACTTCCCCAGAACAGAACATACATCTTAGAAGACAAAGATGAGCATTTCCATGTAAGCATACGATGTGTACTATGATTCTTGACATATGCTTTTTGTATCTCTTGAGATTCAAATTCTGTTCTGAATAGGTGAGGGTAATAATACTCGTACCCAGTCATGTTTTAAAAGTGAGAATTTCTTTGTTGGTTCCTTCCATGTCATCACTTACATTTCCTGGGTAGTTAGTGAAAGGATATGAAATACATCCTGCTTGGTTATGTCTTCCAGTTTGCTGCACTTTACTGTCTAATTTTCAGCTGAAGCTGGGAGGAGGGCACAGTATCTATCAGCCAGACCTGTCTTCACTGCAAATTGTTTTAGTTTGATAATCTAGCTGTCTAATTTAGCTGTCTGTCCTGCTAAATGCTGTACAGCTGCAAGTTGCTTTCTGAGGGCCTGTTCCTCGCAGTGACTGGCTTTAGAGGGTTTTAAAAATTGAAGTAGTGGCATTATGAGTTTGCTTATACTCTGCGAAGGCTTAGGAATGGCTTTGCCTTGACCTGAAATTCTTAAATTGGCTAGTGTGGATGTACTTTCCTTCTCAGCTGGAATTTGTTTTATTTACAAGTAGTTTGTGGGTTCTTTATTTCAATGGAGTGGTAGGGTTTTTTCTTCTGACATTTTGAAAGTCAGAGGGCAGAATTCATGGGGACATTCCTATACTTGTCTGTCATGCAGCTCTGTATGAAACTGGACAAGAGAAACAGTAAGATCAGCTTCTCCAGAAAAGTTACCCGCTGAATTTAATAGGATAACTGTAAACAAGTGACCATTTTTATCACAGATCACAATAAAATGATTAATTTACTTGAAGACACTATGAATATCTTCAGTGTTATGGCAAAATTGAGGTAGATTGTGTTTTTTCAACTTCTAATGATCCCAACATTAAAAGCACCCTAAGCAAAACCAAACTAAAAATAAAATTTTTAAATACTTGGGTTTTGATAGGTAGTTCTCCTGTCCTTGAATTAATATACCTACAAGCCAAATTCTGCCCTTCATTAGGTGGGTGGTAGTCAAGACCAGGGTGGAAGGCACCTTCTCCTGCAGCAGAGCAAGGGGGCGAGCAGGGTGGCCCTGGCAGGGACCAGTGCTGCAGCAGGTGCTGGGGCAAATGTGCTGCTGCTTCCATGGGTGCCTCTGATGGCCAGGCCATCTCCTGGGGCTCATAGGGTTTGTCTTGTTCTTCAAGTACTTACCCAGCTCCTGGTTGAACCTATGTGGAAGTTTCATATCCTCTCATTTGGTAACGTGTCACCTCTTTTTAAAAGTTTGCTTTGAATCTGGCTTGTATGAGTTTTGTTGTTTGGGTCCTACTTTGTATTGATGTGAGTAGCCACCACCTCCACACCCTCCTGGTGTTAACAACCTGCATCATGCTCATGTACACAGAGAGGCTGAACTGCCTATAATTTACTCTGAGATTTTTACCTAAAATTGTATGTAGTATGAAGTTCTCATGTGTATTTAACATTGACTTTCATTTTTTTTCAACCTTTTTTAATGGTGGACAAGTCGTGTTCTGATTTACTCAGCTTATTGTTGTTTTCCTTTTCTGTTTAGCAGCAGAAATACCTTTACACCTTAGTAGGGCTGTAAATACCTGTGCAAACTTAAACAAGCAGAAGGAAGTAATGAACTTCTGTCTCCCACCCTCTGCCCACTCTTGCAGGTACGGAAAGCCGCTCAAGTGATCACTAATAGATATTTGGTATGTTGGGAGTTATTCTGGGGTTAATTCTTGGCAATAAACATGTAATTTCTCTTTCTTTTATGGTGATACTAAGAATGTTATGATTAGCCTTGTATCCCTTGAATGAGTTGCAGAACCTGAGTAGAGCCGTAGCTTTGGTACCGAGGTAAGCCCTGGAGTTTGCTCTGACTTGTTTTGGACAGGGCCATGGGTCAGATTTTCCATTCAGAAGCAGAGCTTTGAGAAGCTACAGAGTTGGCAGGCAAGTATTATTTAATAGGTCAAAGAAGCCATAGCACATTCATGAACTTTTCAGGAAGGCAAAGAAGACGCACATTATAACATAAATTTATTTCTCAATAAATTGCAACATTAAGAACTACTGTACAGGGAAACTGCATCACACTGTTACAACTGTCATGATACTTGTGCTTTGTAGGATAAGTAAACATTTATTCTATCACAGCAAAAAATTGTATACTGACAACTATTTCATTTAAAAATAATACACTTTCCCATTTATTAACTCAAACGAAGCACTTTTAAGTCTATAACACTTGGTGCTTTTTATTAACTTTCAACCTCAGAAATGTCAAGCATTCAGAGTTGCCGCTCGTGTTAGTGGGAGTTACAGATGTTCAGCAGTTCTTAGGAGCAGGCCCAGTGACTGCACAGTTATGTTCAGCGTATGCAATGAATTGATCTTTATCTTGACAGTGAAGCGACCTTCACTGTTTAATATATACTGCAGAGTAGATGTAGAATTACTCGTGTTGTTTAATGTTCCGCGTTAGATTTCAATTCAGTAACAATTTGTATTTTGTAACAAATGACAGATGCAATCATGCAAGTTTAGGAATGGTCTTAGAGATAAAATTGAGAATATGGCTCTTTTTCATAAATTATTTAAAACTACTTCAAAATTTTCAAAAATATTTAGTGCAAAAGGATAGTTGTTTTTTTTTTTTTTTTTTCCCCAAGAAATATTACAGAAGCATATATTGTTATATGGAAAATAAAACATCTCTTAAATACTTTATTGGGAAAAAAAGCAGGCAGGTTTTCTATGATGCTGTCTGGGTAGGGAGAGATGAAAGATAAATATTTTCAAAGAACCAAATTGCAGAAGAGCTATGATAAGTTATATTTACCTTTAAATTCAAAACTGATCTCTTTGGCAGAGTCAAGAGAATCTATCATTAAGTGCATGATACTAACAGATCATCTCAACAAGACAATACTATAGTATGTCTTATCAAACGGTTCTAGAAATGTTATAACAGTGTGAACTATCACATATAGTCCAAACACTTATATCAAAAATGAACAAATGTCTGCTGAAACTTTGCCAATCATTTTCCTTTCTTGTAAGTTATGAAAATTAAGATTTTTCTGATGAGATGGTACTCTTTTCAGGTATGTATTTCTTCACCTTAATAACATTTTATTTGATTAAATTAAAATTGTATTTTTTCACTGCTTTTAATGATATGTAGCATGTTACATAGTGCTTCAAACAGATGGACTTTACGTAATGATTGTACTATCGTTACTCCCTCTTACCAGGTAGAGATGCTGAGGCACAGAGGTGAAACGACTTGCTGAAAGTCACGCAGCAGGTCTGGGGTGGGACAGTGCTTAGAAACCTGCTGCCCTGACTGGCGGAGCTGGGTTCAGGGATATCTCAGGTATAGCTAATACCGAACTGCACTGCCTCTAAGGGGAAAGGAATGAGGTTTTTAAGGGTGGTAACAGAATCTAGATTTTATTTCCTTGAGAAGAAGAAAGGAATCCGGAACAGCTATGGAAAAGAAATAATTACGTGGAAAGAAACTTAAAATACATTTTCAGTAGCTTTTTATTGTGTTATCCAACTGCAAAGGTGTTAAGTGTGCAAAATTGTTTACCCCTAAGCGGAATATGGGGATTTAAAAAAAAAAATAAATAAATTATTTAGGGACATGGGTGTTTCCAGGAATCCTGGAACAAACTCTGGTTCTAATAGTTAAACTGTGCAAATATTGATGTTGTAAAACTGAATGTTAGCTTACTATCCCATTTTAGCTGACTGATTTAATCAAATTGATGAAAATGGAACATATTAGATACTTAATTAAGCCTTTACTGGGTAGTCCATTAGTCCAGAAGGCTAAAAATCCACCCCCTCCTAGTACAGTACATCCCATAGCACAATATGTCAAGAGTCCCTCATGATACAGAAAGACACAATACACCTTGGTTTTGCTTTAGTCCTTGTACAGTTGTGGAATGCACGTGTGCTGCTTCTGTAGAGTTTGTATATCTTTGCTCATTTTATTCAGTGATGTTTGGAAATCAGAGCATTACACAAACCACTGCTTATTTAAACTGGAACAAAACAAAAGTGCTGAATAGGTGAACTTTCTTAACCCAATTCGAGAAGCCAATCAAACAGGCTTGGTGTCATCTCTCTGCCTTCCTCGCTGAGCTTGCAGTACTGCACCACGGCATGAAAGATATCCCCCACTTTCCAGGACTTCCGTTGAACTAATTGCACAACATCTAAAAACTAAATAAAAAGAAAAACAAAACAGGCTTAGGATTTAGATAATGTTTTGCTAAGGCTTTGTTAAATGAATGCTACAAACTGCTGTATGAGGGAGTGACACAATTCACCACGCAGCAACATAAAGGTTCTTTCTATTCTTAAAACTTCATTTCTGAAGTTCCATAGCTCCCAAAAGACTGGCTGGATCTCATGACGTTTTCTAGATTAGCTGCTTTCATCAATTATTTCTTATTTATTGCAACGAAAGTAAGAACAGTGAAAGTGAGCTTGATAAAGGATCACAACTTTCCTTGTTATCAACAAGTGGCTGTCAAAATAGTGGAGTTGTGACTATCCATTTTAAAGAAAAAAAAATAACCCTTTTCATTACTGTTAGATATATCTTAATTTATATTTAATTTTCTGTATTTCCACCCCATAGTGTTTTAAATATTTACATAGTACCGGTGAGAGGGAATTCTGGGTAAATTTCTTTCACATGAAGGCAATTGCCACAAATGTGGTTGAATCTCAAAGAGTATCTATATTTGATGTTTTTTAACTTCCAGATAAACCAGAGGTTAAATATATGTTCTCAAGCAGCTGTAGAAAATCCTGAATTTTGTCCACTTTGTACTTAATAGTGGCTTCACAGTGTCATACATCTGGTCCCATTTTTTTTCTGAAGCATATAAGTGAAAATCAAAGATTTTCACTTCCTTGAATTTCACAATCAACATCTAATTAGCTTGCTCCTTCTATGTTTCCAGTTTTAAACCACACAAGAAAATATTGTGTCTAGTTAGTGTAGCTGTTTGCTATTTACATACTGAAGCCTAAACTTTTAATATGTATTTTAATGCTATTTAATAGGCACGTGATTTCCAAGAGCACTGTTGTAGGCAGGATGTGCTTTATTATTCTGTAGTGTATTTTTGCAATTGAATTAACTGTTTGCCAAAGCACATGGGTAAAGCTGACAGCTGTTTCTTTAATTAGATGCAATTTGGGCTGTTGCTGCTGAATGCATTTTTAAATTATGTTTATGATTCCCAAATGCATGTACTCAAGAAAATCAAACGATATCTCTGGTACTCAAAATGGTCTTCCCATAAAAGACCAAAATACTGATTTGTAATCCTTTTTTTGTTAATTGATTTGAATGCTGTGACGCTTTTTGTAAGACTTGAGGCTTGAGTTGTTTTTGCTGACCTTGGAAATGGGGCTGGTTTGGTCATTCCTGAAATGCTATGGGTAGCATTTGGTGTTATCGACAATGGAGCACTAACTAATCATTCAGGAATAGAAACAGTCTGCGCTTCTTGTGGCCATTCTGGACTTCAGTGTTGCTCTTGGTGCTCTGGCTTGGACTAATACCTCAGAAGGCTTCTTGATTCTGTCTGTCTGCCTCTCTCTGGAAGTAGCCTTCTGCTTTCAAAATGGTGGTTGGCAGAGGCTAAGCTACACCTGAGGAGGAGCAAGAGAGTACTGGCACACATAGCACTTTTTTATTGCTAAGCCAGGGGCAGTGCTTTGTTAGTTCCATAAAATGATGCAAAATATTTCAGTCAGTAAATCTAACTTTCCAAGTAACAGATGTGTGACTGCAAATATGGCTCCACTGGAAACACTGGTAGGTCACTGTCTGGACTAAAACTGTCTCTCAGGGTAGTATTAACCTAAGGATATGCCTATACAGATAGGTCCATCCTGCTTATCCTCTGAACTTTCCATCAGCTCTGGTGCAGAAGCCTGGTAGTCGTCTTATGTCAGACTGAACCTGAGCTAACATAGTTTATCTTTATTTTGCAGTTAGTCTCTTCGGTATGTTTGGGCAGTGGGCCCATTCTTTGGTGAGCAGCAATCCTTTTCTGCCAGCACAAAGTGACCATAAAGCCACTGCATTTGGCCATGGTAGATCTTGCATAAATGTAGGAGGAACTGTCAGGCTCCAGCAATACCCTGCTCTAGCGCCAGCTATAGCAATTTATGAACAGCCAGGCACAAGTTCAGACCCGTCTGAGGCTGCCCAAATAAGCGTTTCGGGCGAGGCAGAACCTGCATAACGACTAAGATATTTCAAAGCTTGAAATTTTAAGTCAAATTTATGTCTTGCATCATCGTCAGCTCTTACTGTTACTGAGTGGCAGAACTTTGTGTGATATCTGCACATAGTTTAAAACATAAAAATAAGAATCATCTATGTGTAAGCCATCTGCAACCCTTCAAATGCAGCCACGTAAAGGACTCCCTGTTAATTTTGCCTTGGGCATTGGTATGAACAACTGAACAGACTCATCAAAGCATGCTATAGAAACTTTGGAGAAGGTGATACTGTTTCTTGTGTCACGGACAATCTAGTAAATATCTCACATACCTTAAATTCTGACACATTTAATCTTGTCCTCCCTTTCTTTAACAAACAGTAGTGTTGCCATTGTGCTATAATGAAGGTGCTTTTGCATCTGCTTTTAAGCTCAGGAACTTCAATAAATCACAACTGCTACTGTGATTAAAGTGACTTAATGGAGTGCTAAATTTTGTAAATACTACCTTTTCAATTCTGTTTTCCTGAGATTTCTTAAAATAGATGGTTGGAATTCCAAGTTCAGAAGCGGCTATCCACTGCAGGGTGACTCGCAGCTCTGCGTCAGGGCATTCTGGTTCCAGGTCAAAGTTTATCACTAGTAGGTTCTTTTGACAATTAGCTGTTCCCACTGAAAGCCCGGAAGTACTTTCTAGAAAAATAATCCCAATAGTTACTGTGAAATTACTTGTGTTAACTTCAAATTGTATGCTTTAATTGATATGGTTCAACTTACCCTCTGTATTTTCTGTCTGTTCTTTAAGGAAAACCTTTTCTTCTACTAATTCACTTAGAAACAAACAACAACAAAGCTTATTAGTGATATTTAGGAACAGTCTACAACATTGCTTCATGATGGATAAACTTCTCCCTCAATGTAAGACCTAGAAAACTGCAAGAAAAATTATATAGAGTGAAATATTGAAATGCTGAATAGATTTCATTTATTTAATCTGTAAATCGGGAAAAGCTATGGGAATGGCAGCATTATTTCCATAACAGGATGAGGTACTTGTACTGGTTGTGCTGTGTATTACGTTTCACCAGGATCTGTGTATCTTTACATAATCACAAGCAAATGACACTATGGTAAGGCACAGCAAGTCTCATAACCTGGGTGCAAGTACTGAACTTCCAATGTTTGCATTTTTCCAGTGCTATACTCCTTGGCTGCATCTTCCAGTCTTGCTTTCTAGTTTTATCTTTCATAGTTAAATACAATTATAACTATCAACGACTTCAACTACTGCTGGTAAACATATTAGCTGTTTGGATAACAAATTCTATCTACACCTTGCAAAAAATTCTGAAGATCTTAATTTCTTATGTACCATCTCTTTCTTAAACTACAGGAAAAAACCTGCAGGCATGTGGTCTCTGCGTCAGCTTCCATTTCTGAGCACAATATCCCTGCTCATGTATGTGGCAGCAGACTGCAAATTCACTACTGATGTCACAGCCATTGCATTCATTTCATCACTCCCGGAGGGAGAGCACTTACAATATGGATTTCCAGACTGTCCCATTCTGCCCTCAATCAGGGGGGAATGCTGCAAGTGTAAGATTTTGTTTCTAGCATGGGAGGACGCTACTCCTTACCTCCCTCGTTCACAGGATTTCAGAATCTCACCCAAGGCTTCAAAGAATCAAGATAATATATACTCATGTAGTGGTTACTGCAAGATGTGAGAGGAAAGAATAAAATGGCAGCATACAATGTATGGCTTGTCATCACTTAGAATCATAGGTGCATAATAACTTCCTTCCCATCAGATTTTTTTCCAGTTTTCTGTTTGAATGGCAGGTGTATTTTGTGTCTTGACTTTGGTTTGTGGAAGTATAAACTTTTCGTGCCTATTTGCTAACACCTGAGAATAACCTCTGAAAGCTGACAAGGGGAGGCAGAAATTTGTGGTCCCAAGAAATATAAAGGAAAGGGATCATCTTTAAGAATGTGTGTAGGAGGTATCACTGCCTATGGTGAAGATGGGAATGTTTTAACAAAGTTAGTCTCCAAATCGGCAGCTAAGAGAGAATGCATATAACTACAGAAATATGAATGCCCAGATTTGCTACAAAAAAAGAACCTTTCCAAAGCAGGACAGTTGTGGTGTAGTCTGGCAACAAGCTGTGGAGATTTTCTGAGGTCACTGTCTTGACAAAGTTCCCATGTTCAATGCTTGACGTACAGTCTATACACTGCTGCAGTGGCCATGCCCGGGGCTGCATCGTGACATGCACCAGCTGGTGGGTTATACCAGGTTTCAGGGTACCAGAATCTTTAGGCAGGTACTTGCACATCTCTTGATAATTTGATTGCATGCTCAGTAGAAACATGCCCAGAAACAATAGGTAAAATGTACTTTGGGCCAAATTATTATTATTGGAAAGAATGCTATCATAATTTATGTTCTTTGACTTTAATTGATCCTTATTTGCTTGATCTTACTATTATGGTAGAGTTCTGATAATATTTGAAGTTATTCAGACAAGAAAGTTCACACAGTGGGAAACTGCTACCACAGAAAAACTCTGTTTTAGGCAGAACAGTTGGTGGATCCCTATTCTCTTGAGACATCCACTGCCTAGTGCTATCACTCTGCACAGACACCTACATGTGCCTTTTTCTGAACCTAACGGCAGGCTCAGCAGTAGGTGCAAAGCAGGGCTTGGCACATTTTAGATGGTGTAAACGATTTGCAGTTAAAATTAGACTAAACATCAAGTCTCACTTCAGTGACTACTTACTTAATCATAGGAGAAGATGGCACGTTCTCCTGATAAATTTCCAGGTCCATAATGCCAAGACTGCTAGTTGTACTGCTGTTGCCATTGCTGACAAAGCAAAAGTTTAAATATTAGTGCCAAGCTGCACTGAACATGTCTCCATACACCTTTTTAAAATGTACTTATGTATAAAGCAAAGTAAGGAGGTTGCCCCCTGTTATGCAGAGTTCCAAAAAATCAATTGTGCTCAGCAAGTCGCTCCCAGAATGAAGCACACTAATCAGCTCAAAGTAACGAGGCTTTTATTAAAATAGTTCTAGATGGAGCATGTATCAAGTGATGCTGTAAACTGGAGGGGACAACAGAGTGGACTACCTTCTTGTGAATGGCTTATGCAGTGAATATTTGGCCTCAAACAAAAGAACAGTCTGCATGAGTCCTTGAAGTACTAACAGGTACAGAGATGTCCTGGAAAAAACCTCCAGAGATTCAGATACCTCTGAACACGGTTAAAGCAAGGCATTTGGCTGCCCATCATACTACTTACCTGTTGGGTGACTCCATGCCTGTAACCAGCAGCAGTTTCAGTGTATTACATCATACCCCAAATACTGTTGGAGATCTGATGGAACCCACAGGTATAGTGACAGCCCCTTATGTTTCTGACTACTCTGAAAGACTGAGATTTTAATTAAAGCCAGTGCTCACTGGGACCAGTAATATGTAGGAGTGTTCTTATTGGTTTCTTCCCAAGAATGAAGTATTACATCTAAGAATATTTGAAAAAAATAGTGCCAGTTCACTTTATAACATCATCATAAAGTTGACAGTGAATGTTTACACAGATATTGTAATAGTCTCATGAACAGGTTGTGCGTTTGCTGGCTGCAAGTCAATTAGCACAAACAAGTTCTGTGTGGCAAGTCAACTTGAACCACTTGACTTTTACTGGAAAAACAGCTAATAGTATTTTTCCTTACATTAGAAGGATTGATTAGACTGTTCCTTTCCCCATCAGGTTTTTCTAAGTCAGTGTCAGCATGCCATGCATTCAGACTTGCTGTAGCAATTTCTGTTTCAATGCAGAGCCAAAAGGCACAAAACATTAGCTCTCTGACCAAGGCCTTTGTTAAAGGTCGATACTATAATGATGGGATGAATGTTCACCCACACTGACAGACAAGTTTTGTTCAGTATTTCTTCAGCTAGCCAACAGTGTTTTCTGACAGAGACACTTTCTCTTCCCTGCTTCATTACCATACTGTCGTCTTTTCTTGTCTTAATACCTGAGAGAAAGATGTAATTACTTGACAATATTTTGAGTATGTGAAGAAAAAACCTTGCTCAATTTGAAGTTGGGAAAGGGCTGAAGTCAAACTAACATCACTTTGTATAAACTCTAAAGACAAGATAACATTTTTAAATATGTCCTGGCTTGAATAGAAACAAAAAGCAGCACACTGTGATGGGAGCTCTGGAATTTATGCCTACTCAGGGGAAGCTCGGGCATCCTCTGTTGATCTGCTCAGGCTGGCATAGGAGAGCAGATCAGGGCTCTGTCTCTGCTCTCAGTGCACAGATACCAAGTGGTAGTAGCAGCCTCATCAATCTCAGCTACTGAGATGCCAAAATAAACATTATGTAAATAGCAGCAAATAAATCAAAGACTGGAGCAATTACTTTATGTGATGGCCCCAGCCCAGGCCTACAGCCCTTTCACTGTAGGACTGAGGCACTTGAGTGGTGCCAGGAAATTTTCTCTTTGTCTGAATCTAGCTGCTCACCAATAATAAAAAGACCTGTCTGAGAACCAGGATGTGGCTAACTTTTTATCCTTTTTTGAAAATAAGAGATGAACCCTGTCCTTAGGCTTTCTTGACAATATTTTGAATAAATCCTGAGCTGTTGACCCTCATTCCTGATGCATGGTAGTCAAACTGTTGGCTTGGTTGATTAGACCATATTGTATACTGAGAACAGACAATATGGGTACCTCAGGGATCGCTCACTGAGTTGCAAGTAGCTACTTGTGTCGTCAGGATTGTCCTCGTCGTTGGCTAGCTGGGACCAGCTGCCAGTGCTTTCTTCACTGCTGCTGAGATGGTTTGGAAATTCTTCAGCTGTTTTTGTCTCTCCTACGATTTCAGCATCCGGTCTGCTCTGAGGACTGCTGCTGGTAGGGTGACAAGGAAGGCACACTGATATTGTAACATAGGCAAACAAAGTGATGCACCAATCTTTGGGCAATGCTGCTCATTAAAGTTAACGAAGCTGCAAAGTTATACAGATGCAAGAGATTGGACAAGCTTATAATTTATGTATGAAGTCCAGTTGAACAAATGGTCTGAGATCCTCTTAAAAAAAAGGATCTTCTTATGACTGCTATAGACACGCATAAAACAAAGCAAGCCTTATACTGAAATATACATAGAAAAGGTTTAACTTGTGCAAAAAGATTTTACAGGTACAGAATAACTGCTTACTGCATAGGCCTATTGCTCAATGCACTTCAGTCAATCAGTGGCTGAAATACGTGATGTATGTTAGCGCAGCACAACAGTGTTGCTTGGAAATATATATTGGCACTAAATCCCTGTCCTACTAATGGGTAAGTAAGTTTCTTGCCAGGGTTTTCTACTCTGTTAGCATTGTAGATCCAAAAGAGATCTAGAAGTAAAAGTAGAAAAGCATTGTGGGTTGTGAACCACTAGACTCTCAGCCTTCTGTGTTTCTTAGGATCTTTGCCACTTAGGTTGGGGAAGTACGAAGTATTCTTTTTCTAGGTAGGTGTGCAGCAGGTAGTCAGAAACCAGACTGAATATGGAGCCCAGGCTGAGTTTAGAAAATATAGGGTTAAGGGAAAAATATTTTATAACGCTGCACACTTGACATATGTCACAGACACATTTATAGGACACACATATATACACACACTTTTTCAGATGGACACACAAACAAAAAATAAAAGCTATATTTACAGTAACTTTTCAGAGCCAAACTGGACTTTGAGACTTATCATGGGATTTTTGATATGCAGGCAGAAAAGTATATAATAATCCTACGCCCCTCTTCTTTTTGGATGATAAGAAAGAATTAATTAAATCACTGCAGTGCCAGAAGAGCAATTAAAGAAAAACTGTAGTTTTGTTACATTTACTGGATAGTCTGCATTTGCAACTTTGTGACGAAAACAAAGTAATGTGTACAGGCAGAAGTTCTCTGCAGAAGTTCTTGCCTTCAGACTTTTATCTATAGTTATGGCTGAGGTGCCCTGTCTTCAGTTAGAGCAAGAGATCACCCCCAAAACTGTATTGCTTCCAAGTAATTAACTTGATTAAGAACACACGGAGACAGTATCATTGTGGACCTCTCCTTTTCCCAGGTTCTCACTCTCAGGACAACTGAGAAGCTGCTGCATTAATGCTGGATGCTAGAGAGAAAGAGAGGCAGCCTCCTGCACAGGGAGAAAGGGACTTGTTTGCCTGAGGGCCTCTGCTCTACCAGGCAGCCAACATCTGTCAAATAACTACCTCCACCTGTCACGCCTGGCCCCTCAGGTACAAAACTCATCATCTGTAGTAACATGAGGCACTGAGCAGGCAGGTCACATGGCAGTGGTATTATTCAGATTTTTAATACAGGGCAGGTAGCACCTAATGCTTAGTCCAGAACACAAGAGATTTTTGTGGGTTCGTTACTTGATGTTTTGGCTTGTGTTTGACTCATTATGCGATTACATCTCAGACTAGCGATGCTTTGAACTGATAGCTCCCTACTTCTGAACAGTCAGCTGGAACAGTTTCTGTGTATCTGACAGGACTGGGTCAGTTGCACTACCTACGTACAAGAAACAACTCTTTTTTTTAAAAAAATTTTTTTTTTGGTTCTTGCAGAAAATG